GCCCATCGAGGACCTACCCTAGAAAGGGACAGAAACACACAGGTGACACACAGGTCCCGGAAAACACTGCAAAGAAACTAGCAGAAGGGTTATACACACAACCACCAGCTCATTAGATACACACAAATATATATATATTTATATATACATATGTTTAGACATGGATCATACTCACCCACCATGGTTCCCGCATCGGAGCTCTGTCCGAAGAAGCCTCTAGACCGGACCATCAGTAAGATGGTCACTATGAAGCCATAGAACCAACCAAACCTAATAGGTCCAGCATAGGAGACTATAATGCAGGAAATTTCCCACCTAACCTCGGTCAGGTGGAGAGATGGTGGTTACAGGGGAATTAGGAAGGTGAAGATAAGGGCAGATGTAAGACCCCCGAAGGAAATGAGTAGATACTGAGGTATCACTCTGATCCGGACAAAAGCACTGACGCCCTGTCTGGATCACATCCCTTAGGTCTTTTACTTACCTTCCTTTGACCTGCGATTCTTCCTACCCCTACCAGGGGAGGAGCGCGAACCGCGACACTAGCCTTCTGAGCCAGCCTTTGATCCTCTGACGGGCTAGGACCCCTGGGTTGTTCGGGCTCAGACCTGGACTTCTATCCCGGTCTTTCAGCAGGTCAGCCTGATATGCTTGGAGCATCACCATCGTGTGCAATGAAGCGACAGCCCGACCTGCTGCTGCTGCGTATGCCCTGACCATTTTGGCTTGCTTATGCATTTTGATTTTCAGAAGATCTTGATCTTATGATAAAGGATGGTCAAAAATAAGTGGATAGAGGGGACGGTTTGAGAAATTAGAATTTCTATGGTGTTTCTATGGTATTTCTATGGAATTTCTAAAACAATATAATAGGGCGTATTTTGGGCCGAATTCTGCCCTTCTGACAATCCTAGGTAAAGTCCCGAATATCTGAAATACAGAAATGCATGCTTCAAACAAAACAGTCAATGAAGACGAAGAAGAGAATGATGTGTGCTCCCGGCGCCTATTTATACTATAGTCGCACCGGTAGTGACATCATGGCTGTCGCCGGCCAATGAGTTGGTGTTTTTTCAATGTATGCTTCAGACACGGGTCACGACGAGGCGTTCCCCTAGAGGACGCAGTTCGAAGTTCCCATGAAAGGGAACCACAATTCCAGAACAGAACAAAATAGCAAATTAGTCCTCCAAAATCATGTTTTTATAATATGACATTAATTTGTCATCATTAACGAAAGTCGAAAGTTCTGCAACAATAGAAGTTACTACACAAACAGACAGTTAGTTAATTTAATGTGTCTGTTGAACTATGGTAGTTAGCGGTGAGTTAAATGCACCCCTAATGAGAATCAAAATTTTGATTAGAACTTACAAAGCTGCTAAAAAATAACACCAGACCATCTATCTGATTGCTGTGATTAGTAAATGATTCTATTTCTTTTACTAGTTCAGTGCTTGACAGGAAGGTATATGAAATAAAGGGGGGTTGAGAGTCCACGCTGTTACAGCTCAATGTACTGCTTATAGCCTTGACCAACTAATGAGGACATTGACACAAGATCAGTCTGTCTATAAAGTCAAAATTAACTGTGTTCACAAACCATTTTGGCTTGCTTATGCATTTTGATTTTCAGAAGATCTTGATCTTATGATAAAGGATGGTCAAAAATAAGTGGATAGAGGGGACGGTTTGAGAAATTAGAATTTCTATGGTGATGTAAGTCAATAGGGAAAAGTTACTTCAGAGCAAGTGGATTATAGAATATGAAGACTAACTTTTTTTTTACGTGCACATATGAAACATGCACAATATGGTCAGGAATGTGTATTAAAAAGTATATAGGGTCTTGATTAGATCTTGATATAGGGTTTTGATTTCATGTCGACTTTAAGAGTAGTAACTCAAGAGCAACCGTGAGAGAATGAGCTCTTCCTTCACTAGTCAGTATTCTAGACCAGTGTTTACAGGGAACTGAAAGCTGCGCAGACTGTTTCATGCATCTGAAAAAGATGATCCCAGTGTAATGGGAGAAGCCAGGAGTGATCATATTGAAAAAATAAATGTCTCTGTTAACCAGTTCAGTCAGTTTAATCGATCAGTTTTGTGATTAGGTCCTACTCTGCCACTCTTAGTTTTCATACCTGGCTCAGTTGGAGTGTTTGTTTTGCAACCTGGAGCGTTTTCTCCTTTTGTTCTTTTGTTTAGGCATATGTGAACATGACACATTTTGGTATGCTTTGAAATGTTGCCTTGTGAAAGCAAAATAAAGCAAGTAGAAAATGCAACATTACAGGCTTTAACGCTGAAGGAACACTTTCATAGTTCCTATAACTATTAGTGAAAGTACCCACTTTTTGGCGTGTTTGCACCGCAGGAACTGGGATCGATTTTAGTTATAGGAATACCGTTTGGAGGGAATAAATTGGCTCCTACTTCAGAGTAGGATCTAACCCAGGACAATAGGAACTACCAGTGACGTAAGTGTGTTGATTGGCCGAATGCATACCATACGAAACAAAAGCACCCGCCATTTTTAGCACCAAAAGCTGTGTAAACACATAGTTTACATTTACTTACATCACAAACTAACTTCAAGAACATGGAAAACAGCCTATAGATGGACTGACGCTGAAGTCACTTCTCCGTCTTCCATCCTCCAGTTGTTGACATACTTGAATGCTGCCCTTAAATGTTTTAAAAGTCCTCTAAAAGTTCCTACTGGTGGTGCGAATGCTTTTGTGCCTTGGTGGCTACTTCCTGTAACTAAGTTCCTATCTGCCTGCTGCGAAAGCCCTTGTCGTAACAATTTAAGTCCCTTACGTCTAAAACCACACTTAAGCGGGGCACACAAAACAATATAATAGGGCGTATTTTGGGCCGAATTCTGCCCTTCTGACAATCCTAGGTAAAGTCCCGAATATCTTGATGGTTCTACAGATTTTCCAATCTGGTCTCATGGCAAAAACGTACCTGGGGGCACTTTTTTCGTGAGACGCTAAATACGTACCAATAAGTACATATCACTGCAGTTTCCAAAAGAAATGAACACTAGAGGCAGTAAAACTCCAACACCTTTTATTCCTTTTCACACAAATTTGCAGAGTTTCAATTAATAAAGCGTAATTTTCGCACAATTACTTGAAGAATATTATGTTATGACTTCAAAACAATTTTAATATGCTGGGATATTTGAAAACTGATGCTTTTGAATGTTAGCATCGCACCTATTCAGCTTCATATCTATGGGTTTTCATAGACGGTAGTTTTGTACCAGTCTATGAAACAGTTTGTAACAGTTCAAATCTGCATATAAGGAAGTTCAAATGGCACGGTTGCATCAACAAATGCGTTTTTATATCAGTTTAGCATTTGTTAAGGTTTAGGGTTAGGTTTGGGGTAGGGCATATGTCCAACAGTCCCCAGATATTTGAATTCTGAACCGCCGCAATACGTACCTGAAGCAACGTAAAAAAAACACAGCAATACGTACCTATATCAACGTAATAAAAACGTGCCAGGGTTCACGTATTGAACCCATGTTTTAGACTGTGGCGAAACGTGCAGTAAGGTGCGTAAAAACGGTGTTGTAGAAAAGTACCCAGAGGTACGTATTTTTATGAGACCAGGTTGGATTTTCCTGTGGTGTGTTTAAAAATGATTGAATCTGCTCAAAATTGTAAATATCCAACATGTTGAATATTTACGTTCAGAAATCCTGTTGTGTGGGGGGATTCCTGAGGACAAACGTGCACACACTCTGTAGATTGTCATGTGGAACGGAACGGAACGATTTCCAATCAAAAAGTTCGTTGACGGAAGTTTTACTCACCTCCAGGCCGTTCTGTAAATGTAAAGTCCACGTTCATGCCATCTTCACGACTTCATCCAAACCTATTTCTGTTTTTCCACGAATTTCCGGTAAAAAAAGAAATCCAATAATACTATTGTCGCCATTTCTTCTTGCCCGTCATCCGCCATTTGTTCACTCTAAAGTCATGTTTGACTCTAAAGTCACAGTTGGTACTCTGGTTGTTTTAAAAATCTTTTAGTGTGGGTCAGCATTTAGTCAACCTTAGTCAACTTGGCTTAATAAGGGAGTCCACATGATAAAGGTCTTTTCATGTGTTTGCATCAAAACCACCCACCCTCTGTGCTGATCTACTCTCACTGTGTGTATATATGTGTTTTATGGCTATAAACTGATTCATCTCAACCTGTGGCCACCCATGTTTGTTTGCACAGCCCCCTCAAAAAACCCAATTGGTACAGCACAGATGCTAGGTTTCAATCCTTTAACACAGCCCTGAATATTCCCCTTCCAATCCTTTTTATAAAAATGCTCCATTTACTGGACATACATGACATCCGTGACGGAAGTCCCAAGTGAATTAATTTTCTCTCAGGCGCATAACAATATAACAAAATAACCCGCTGTCTTTCTTCTCCCCTTCTTTTAACAGTGCGGCAAAGCAGCGGAGAACTTCGACAAATTCTTCACCCGCACGCAGCCCATGCTGACCCCTCCAGACCAACTGGTCATTGCCAACATCGACCAGAGCGAATTCGCTGGATTCTCTTACATAAACCCAGAGTTCATCCACCCATCGTCGCTTCACAGTGTGGTATGAGACGGCCCGATGAAGAAGAGGACCGCCCATCCTGCTCAAACTAACAACCACATCCCTGTTATTTATGAGCTCACCAAATCTTTGTAGACAGTTGAATACCCTTTATCTGAACTGAGGAGGGCTGGAGAAGGGAGTTTGATGGGTGAATGGAAATAATATTCTAAAGCATGTGTCCACATTCAGACTTTGAGGCCAGTTTTTAATGGAGCTGGTGTAAGATCTGTTCCATAGACTGGTGAGCATTTTAAGGCACCACAGACTCGTTCCTGACAAATGATGCTTTTATGAGGTTCCATCTCCGTTAGGATGCTGCTTGTATAGGTAGTAGACAGAAAGGCAGCTCTCTAGGCTAATGCCCTCATAGTAATGACAGTTCATCGATTGCCTGTATGCAGATAGCTGTTATGTGCAGGTTCAGTATATTTTACAAAACACAGAAGGTGGAGATATTGTACGATCCCTTTTTCCAGTCCTCAGATTCTTTGTGTGTGAAGCATGCTGACATGAAACAGGTTTTTGTGCCCTATTCCTTTTATCCTCTACTGCCATTTCTACTGTTCCTGAATTATATATTTGTAAATCTAAAAAAAATATCTTGTTATAGGAGTGCCAAAATATTACTGCATCAAAAGTTTTTTTTATATCCAGTTCTATATATGCATATTGATTTCCTACTAGATCTCTTGGTGGTGTCCCTTATCTTGGGCTGAAACTTGAATCCTTATTGCTCCTCGAGTTTTAGCATGACAACTTCCAATCCCGTCACTGCCTGCTCGCCTGGTCTTGACATATTCAACATATACACAACTTTTCCTCTCGCTCTAAATGTATGAATTGTGATTCTGAGTGATTCCTCGTTGCTAATACGCAGGCCTTACACACCCGCAGAATGCTGTAGATCACCTGTCCTATACTCATCCGCTTGCATGTTTGTTTTTATTAAATACTTTGGATAATCTAATAACACTGTTTCATTGAACATATTTTTCCTTGTTTAAATCCATCCTGCAGATTTGTGTTTTTCATGTTCAGCACAAAAAAGTCTGCGGATTCTGCCTGGGCCTGATAATAACTATCCAGTGCAACATTTCAAACCAGACTGAGTCACTTCTGTTAGAAATGGATATATGTTTTTTTGTTTAAAACCTGCATATTATGCTAGAGAAATCTACCACTGCTACAACATAAAGAATATGTAACGAGACAAAAGATGCTGTACTTTAAACTGTAGGGGGTGAGTCTCCGAAACCTGTCAAAACCTTGTCTAGGACATATTTCACCCCTGAAAATCTTTGCTTAAAGGAAAAAGAATCCTGTTTTAAACAATTAAGTTAATGGTTGCATTATGGTACCATCAAGTTAATGTTTATTATATATATACAGTATATATATATATATATATATATATATATATATATATATATACAGTGGGGAAAAAAAGTATTTAGTCAGCCACCAATTGTGCAAGTTCTCCCACTTAAAAAGATGAGAGAGGCCTGTAATTTTCATCATAGGTATACCTCAACTATGAGAGACAAAATGAGA